TGATAGAGTCCGCAACGAGTACTGACAGCTCTCTTCCAGGGCGGTTTTTCGTGTGTGTGTGTGTGTGTGTGTGCGTGTGTGTGTGTCTGTGTTTGTTGTTGTCTCAAAAGGTGGGGTAAATAGAAAAAGTTGCGACAGATCCAACGGAGAAAGAAAGGCACTTTCCAACCAAAACACAAAAACACAAAACCCCCAAAACAACTATGGTTTTGTTGCACTGGTATGAAACCTTTAACAAATGAGAGAGAGAGAGAGAGAGAGAGAGAGAGAGAAGAGAACATAGGAGAGAGAGGAGAGAGAGAAAAGAGAAGGGAGGGAGGGAGGGAGGGAGGGAAAGAGAAGCTGGAGGAGGAGGAGGAAGGTGGGGGGCGGGGGTGTGGAGAGGCTGGTGCAAAAGGAATGCGCGTTTGCAGGAGGAGGAGTAAAGCGATGATTGTGTAATTAAATAATAAAACAATCCTTAAGTCTGATTTGGAGAGAGCTCGAGCGGGGTCCAGAGGGTGGAACCGGTGAATTTTTCAACTTCCAAGTTTTGCAAGGAAAGAAAGCGAGAGAGGGAGGGGGGGAGAGAAAGAGCCCAGAGCAGAAAAGAGAGGAGTTTGGAGCCGAGCGGGAGAGCGGGATTTATCGTTTGGGATTTTTTCAGGAGCTCGTTCCGATCCCCTTGGGCTCTGGGCAGCAGCGGCGGCGGCAGCCTCCTCCCTCGGCCGGGTCAGACGCGGGGCGAGGTGGGCGGCCGGGCGGGCGTGGAGAAGCCGGCGCGAGCGGCGGCGGCTGCAGCCAGGGAACCGCGCGTCAGGAGCCTCTTCCACCCGGGAGACCTGTGCTCGCGTCCCCTCCCTCACCCCGGCCTCTCCCTTCTCCACCACCCCACCCCGACCCCACCCGGCCCTCTCCGGCGCGCGCCCAGCAACCCGCGCGCACTCGCTCACGCTCCCTCTCGCGCACACACATGGTCGGCTCGCGGCAAAGTTTCGCCTGCGATCGCCACTCGGGAATCCTGCGGCAGGGCTCCGGGCTGTAACCTTGAACTTTCCCAGTGCGGTGACACATTCTCTCTGCTCTTGCTCCCGCCCTCTTTCCTGCGCCCCCCACCCCGCCTTTTTTAAAAAAGCATTTCACCACCAACCACTACCCCAATCCAACCCGCACCGATCCTTCGCGCACCTCCTAGCTCCCAACAACAACAACAACTGCAAAACAGAAAACAAATCCCCAAACCCAGGCGAAAAGCAACCAGCACCGGCAGCGGCAGCGGCAGCGGCGGCGGCGGCGGCCTGGGAGAGCACGGCCGGCGCGCTCGGACGGCAAGGTCTAAAAGTCTAGATTGGATTTCACCCCGGGAAATCTAGCACGCCGAGTGAACTTGAATCTTTGGCTATTTAAGGAGGACTGGGTTTGTTGCGAAGTTGCGGCGATCCAGCGACCCCGTCCTGATTGATCGCATCGCGGGGCTCCGATGACTGTAAAATGAATAGATGAAATTCTGGCTTCTCGAAGATTGTCTTGGGCATCTCCTGGAAAGTGCGTTTTTAAGGCGAAGTCATGATGTATTCTCCCATCTGTCTCACTCAGGTACATGTCTTGATCGCGCTTTGGGGCTTTCTCTCTAGCCCGAAATGCCTTTGTTTTGTTTTGTTGCTCTCCTCTGCAGACAGTTCAAGGCTTTTTTTTTTAACTTAACCTCCGCAACCCCCGTCCCTCGAAAAAGTGGCCGGGAGTTGTGACGGGATTTACCGGGCGGCGTGGGAGCCGGCGCGCGGCCTCTAGCCCACGGCCACCGCGCGCGCTCAGCCCCGCGCTCCGGGCACGGAGAGCGGGCGCCCGCGTGCTGCCAGGGCGAGGCCGCAGAGGGTGGGCAGGGCCCGGGCCCACGAGAGCTAGTCCCTGCGCGGCCCCCGGAGTGCGTGCTGCGGCGCGGCGCCTCTGCTCGAGGTGCCCGCCACCCCTCCGGTTCTTGCTGGTGCGCACTGGGGCAGCCTCGGCTTTAGAGGGGCTTTAGGAGGGAGTGAGCCCTGATCAGCCACCAGTGAACTTGGACGAGGGGACTCGTGCAGGAGTCCTCGTGGGTACCTTTGGACTTCGCTGCGGGGCTTTGGCCCGGCGACGAAGCCAGGCGGAGGTTGTGGTCGGGGGATCCATTCCTTTGCTTAATTTGGGGATCTGAAACTCCGGTCCTTCGTGATCTGCACTTGGCGGTTAACAGTGACCCCGCCACAAAGGTAGCCTTTACCTTAACACCAGTTAGCTGGTCGTGGTGAAAGTTAAGGACTTTTACAACACGTTCTTTTTGTGCAGACCTGTTCATTTGACGATCTTCAGGCGTAGCTCCTATGGCAGAATGTAATGCTGGAAAAAGTAAAGTCATTTTTTTTTTTTAAAAAAATATGCACGTTGAAAATTGTCCCAAGACTTTAGGAACAATGTTATGAAATAAAATCCTGGCTTTATACTTTTTGAAAGAGCAGAAATTGTATAATTTTAAACCAGACGGTCCATTGGAAAAGTGACCAGACCGAACAGACTTACCTGGGGGTGGTTTTCATCGCTGCCCAGCTAACTAACCAGCTAAGGAACTCACTAAGTATCTTAGCTCTGAGTTGTTATTTGAAGCAGTATTTTAAACCTCTGGAGGTGTGGGACAGTTTACTTTAGCTTTTAGGAGGATGTAGCATGATTGGTCATCGATAACCATTTTCTTTGACATTGGCATAAAGACTAAACAGTTAAAAGAAGTGTCACCTCCTCTTAGGTGTGTTGCAATTTAAAAATATTCCAATATCACGATGATGCATTTTTATAAGGGACAAATGATTAAGATTTCAATTGTATGACAATTAGAAGCCATTGTGATTCAAAAGGACTGAGGCATTCATAAATTGTGAATGAAGATGAAAACAATGATAAGGCTTATTCAGTGATTGGATACAGTCCTGTAGCTTTTTGGCTGACACATTTTTTATTGTTTATATTTTGTTTGGCATCTGAGTATGATTAACTTAGATATGGCTATTTTCAGCAAGTAAACGTGCACTTTAATTTAACAAAACTGGAAAAATGAGTTGCTGAGCTATTTGTCCTTTAAAAGCTAAGAATAATGACCAATAAATACGATGATTGAACTGTGTCAGGTAAAACGAATTTCCTTTAGTTGTAAAAGTGACGTTGCATATTACCCATCATCAGGAATTTTTTTTCTCTTTCTGGTAAACTATGGCCATTTGATATTATTTTTACATTATTGAAGCATTATTCAAATAAAACAAATTGAGATGAGCTTTACACTTGCAAAGTACTGACTCACTCTCACCTGTACACGATTGCTTTTCTGTTTTAATTTATGTTTCCAGCATTGGCTTTTTAGAAACATTGCTAGTGATTTACATACACTGCATTTTTTCTTTCCCCTAAACATGTATTGAAAACTCACTAACTTTACCTTAATTTGTGTAAGTTAAAAATAAAATTGCAGCTTCTAGACATATGGACTGTTCGAAGCATGTACTGCATCATCATTCTGCTATCACATTAGTAGTCAAGAATACATACTCACCAACACTAATTCATGGTGACTAATATTATCTACTGTTTAATAATGTAAATCTATGTTGATGTATTAAAACTATTTTGGGATTTAAAGTCTATGCAAGAGCAGGTATTTTAGCTTTAGAATTCTCACTTAACTAATACTTTCTATGTGACTTTATAGGTAAGGTAAGGTGTTGTAAATGTAAGGGCACCTTAATTATGTTGCTTTTACATCAGATCAATAATTTGGTTTTGTATTGGCAGAGCCTTACAACTGTAGCAAAACACTTTTTTTGGATTTTAAAATACAAAATAGAGAAATATTCTCAATTGGTTGAAAACTTTATAAAGTTTCAATTGTTGAAATGTCAAGATTTTTAGAAAGGATTTTAATTCAAAAAGAGCTACAGTTAAAGTTGATATGTAGCAGAATGTTATGCAAAAGTATCAGTGAATCTATAAATCAGTATTTATAAATCAGTATTTATACATCACTGTGAATCAGATATAAAAGGATAATTAAGAACCATCATATATAAGATAGTATTTGCTTTTTCTAAAATTACTGTAAAATCCTTAATAATATAACTTTCACTTGGCATGTTT